AGGCAGGTTTTTCAATTCCATGACATTCTTTGTAAATTCCTTCTTTTTTATTAATGACAATTAATTCTATTTATCCCAATTCTATTGATTCTTCGATTATGAACAGGGAGTAGTTTTAATTAGGGATTTGGGGTTGATGAAGGGGTTAATCATGATGTATGGTTAGGTTGTTGATGGTGTAAATTGCATGAATGCCGTTTAATTTGTGTTTGAATAATTTAATTGATATCTTTTGTAACCTAGAATGACCACTAGAATTACAATTGCATATAGAATAAATTAAGAGAGATCTAATTTGTTCTAGGACACATTCACACACACTTAATCGTTCGTTAAAAGATTAGTAGCGATGAAGGGACCGTAAGCTCGTTCGTCTTGGCAACAATTTAGGATCCTGTCGCATGAGAGATCAGCCTGGTCCCCTAAATTATTGTACTCTACGCCGCGAGAGCGGTAAGAACTTAGTATTGATTAGCTAGGCTCAATTAAATTAAATTCATGTAATTAAGCCTGATCTGCCAGAAATCTGATTACCCCAGAATCAATCCATGTTCCCTTCGTCGTTAATTAAGAAGAATCCAAATATTTACTTTTAGTCGTTTATTTGCAATTTTAGTTTTCTCAAGCAACCAAATCTCGCATGACCGCATTTGTTTTATTTATTCTTTATCGCTGATTTTAGTTAATTCTTAATTCTCTTTTACCGTCCCTGTGGAGACGATACTCGTACTTTCACCGCTATATTACAATCTTTTAAGTGCGAGAAAACTCACATCAAAATGCAAACATATGTGTTAGGGTTAGACCCTAGGAATTGTCGTGGCTGGTAGTCACGGGGTATTGAGTTGATGCTTTGTAAACAAACTCGGGCCTACGGGTTGACTACTTGAGTTTATATAAAGTAAGTATATTTTGAAAAGGGGTAACTTGAGGTTACGGCCTAGATTATATTATCACCCTATTTGAGGGTCTTGCGTTTGAAATACTTGTTGTATATCTATTAGGTGCCATCCACGCCAGTACTTTATAGTTGTATAGAGTACTGATCCTCTTTCGGGGGGGTCCCACCACCATTTCAGGTTGAGGCTAGAGCTTGCTTCATGTGCTCGTTGCTCGAGTGATTGCTCCGGAGAGAAATTTTGGTTCGTGCTTCCTCCATTCTATTTTGAACAATAATAAACTTGCTCATGAATATTTTACTATAGAGCCTGCGTGCTCATGCTTGCCCCGCGTGGCATTTGTTTTAAACTATGTTTCCGCTGCGTATTGAATTAGTTATTATGTATGTTTATGGATGACTTATGTGTGAATGATATTCGAGACGCCTTGTATAATATGGATGTGTTTGACTGCGGCTGACTATTCGTATTATACGACGGGTTGTTGACGTGTCCGGGTACGTCCGGCCGTCCGGGGCGTGACATACATGGAGTTAACAAAGATTGTAAAAGAAAAGGGTGATCCTTCTAATCTTGTTAATTGTCTATTAAATTAATCTTGTTAATTCTCATTTACTTAGTCAAACACAAAACCCTTATTAAACTATTACTTTCTTTACAGTTGAATAGATTTGAATTTATAGTCTTTGCACCAAGTGGTGTATCCACTATGGGGCAGTGGGGGCAGTTCCCCCCCCCCCCAATCCCATCGAGACCCTATATATATAATCTAAAGTTGTCTAGAAAATTACTTAGAATCAAAGTTTAACATGGAAAAATTCTAAAACACGGTTAATAGTGTTTCTTCCTTAAATATAGGATATATATAATCCTATTAATTAAAAGAATAAAACAATAAAAAATTATTGAATCTTGTAATGTTTAACTTCCATTTAGATAATTTTCTCAAATTTGATCAACAATTTTATCTTTGCATATACATAATTTAAATTGATATTCTTTTTATACATTGTAAATTTATAACTTAAACTAAGTCTAATCAAGCAATATTACAAAACAAAAAAACAGCCCGTTTGTCACGGAACTTTGTCACGGATCCGGGCCGTGACAAAGTTGTCACGGGCTTTGTCACGGATATTTTGGGTTTGTCACGAACAAGGTTTGTCACGGAAAAATCCGTGACAAAATCCGTGACAAAAAACTTCCGGTAACCGGCAATTTACTCCGGTCAAAATTTATTTAATTCCGCGCAATTTGTCACGGACGGATCCGTGACAAATCCGTGACAAAATTCAAAAATATTTGTCACGGATCGGTCTGTGACAAAGTCCGTGACGAAACCCAATATTTGATAGTCCAGCGGTCACCTAATTAATGTTGTACGAAAAAGTGTTTGTTACGAATTTATCCGTGACAAATCCGTGACAAATGAAAATATTTGAATTCAAAAAAATTCAAGTTACCCGCCTAGCCCATTTCAGATATTTCAAAAAAATTAAAAAAAAACATTTATCCGTGACAATATGAAATATTTGAATTCAACAAATTTCAACTTCCCCGCCAAGCCCATTCCAAATATTTTTAAAAAATTCAAAAAAAGTTTGTCACGGATACATCCGTGACAAATAAGACCTAGTGTTGCTCTGGTACCTTGATTTGTCACGGATGGAAACCGTGACAAATCCGTGACAACGTTTGTCACGGAAACGTGTCCGTGACAACGCTATTGTCACGTGACGTGCACTTTGTCGTGAAATGCACTCAAAATAATTAATCAATACAACACTAATACGTAGTATAGTGAAGTAAGGTTCGTATCCACAGGGAAAGCAATACTTTTCTTTTATATAAATAGTAACAAGGGGGGTTTTAAGTTTGATTTGATTTAATTTAATTAACACTAAGATGAACGACTTATATGAGTTTAATTTATAGAGATGAGGACTTGGTTTTGTTTTTATCCACTTAATGAAATGTTCGTCGATCCCGGTTATATCTTTAACTATCTTCCTCTCGAATACTCAATCGAGGAGTATATCCAGTTCATCGAGGGTAGTTATTAATAACGAGACGCGTTCATTAATAAAACTTACTACCGAGTTAATATAGAACAAGCGTCGTATATTAGCCCGATAGTAGCCAGGGGCGGACCCACCCTAGGGCTAGGGGGTGCCCGTGCCCCTGCGGTGATTTATATATATATATATATATATATATATATATATATATATATATATATATATATATATATATATATATATATATATATATATATATTGGAAAATTCTCAGGTCCAACACCTCCCGGTCCGAACGCCGTCTGAACACCGCCATTTGGGGAAGTTCCAGGTGGAATTGTTTGATGATAATTTTTGGGCATGTTCCACGTCAAGTCTAGTTTATCCATACCAAATTTCAGGTCAAAATTCGACCGGGAAGGCAGACAAATAATTCGTTGAAGTTAACTGCGTTTTTCTATGTATAATTTGGCGCAGTTAACTTCAATGAATTATTTGACTGCCTTCCTGATCAAATTTTGAGCTGAAGTTTGGTATGGATAAACTAGACTTGATGAGGAGCATGCTCAAAAAATTTCATCAAAATATTTCGCCGGGAACCGCCCCAAACGCCGGTGTTCGGACGACGTTCGGACAGAAAAGTGCTGGAGAGAAAAGTTATGCCGATTGAGACTTATGATGTTAATATTAGAGATGAGTTGAGGAGACGTTATTTGAGAAAAGGTCCTTGCCAACCACGTGACTTTAAATTTCCACAAAGTGATTTTAATGGGTGCAACGGATCATTCCAAAAGCAGTGGTTTTATTTAAATTTTATAATTTTGTTTATTGCTATACTCGTGATGCATATGATTTTTTTCTAGACTAGTATATCATTTCTTTGTTATTGTGCCCCTGCGAGTCACGAGTCCTGGTTCCGCCACTGATAGTAGCAATAAACTTAAGATGAAAACGATTGAGATTGATAACCTTAACACAAGCAGTTTATTGGTTTAATCAATATAATTAATTCCCCTTAGATTATTAACCATGAGACGCATGCATTAATAATCCAAGTTTTACTAGCGTTGAAAGAACCGAATTAGTAACAAGCGTATTAATCGATTGATTCTAGTAATAATTAATATATGAAACAAAACTAGTTGATCCTTTAAGTAATGCTCAAAATATTAATATGGAATATGAATAGGAAATAATTAATATTCAAGGAAGAAGATTAAAGAAAATAACTCACAACTTACAAATTCATTAAGATTCAAAGTAGCAAAACCAAGATGGAAGAGTTTAGCCCCTCATTTGGAGACTAAACATGAAGAAAATATAAAGAAAGAGCTTGTCTAAACTGAGCTAAGAAGTATATGTGAATTGGTGATTTTTGTGGGAAGGAAAGGGGGGTATTTATAGGCTTTTGGAGCATGCAGGGGTGTGTACCCGATCGGGCATCAAGGGCACCCGATCGGGTACCTTCAGTGGCTTCCCGGAAGCTCGAAAAGTTGGGCATACCTGATCGGGTATGTCGGTCACCCGATCGGGTATGACACTCGAACATGGTTAAATATTTTCCTACATGTTGCCTTGTCCCGGATCCGATCCGATTTTATTTTTCAACAAGGTACCCGATCGGGTATAGGTCATACCCGACCGGGTACAACACCAAAAAAATCACTCTTCAATTCGTCTCGAGATTTTTGCACCTTCCTTCCATTTGTGATGTTCACCAATGGTCCCTAGAGTGATCTTGGACCTGTTTGAGCTCAGTATAAACCTAATCTTAACAAATTACAAACATTTTTTTAAATTAAACTATTACACCAAAAGTGTGTAATTTCCAAGGTAACAATCAATCTAAACTAATTAAAAACATAAACGTAAGCATGGAAATTACATGAATGTCAACTCCCCCACACTTAGTTTCTTTACTCGACCTCGAGTAAAACCAAATGTTTATACAATGTTCATCAAAAGATCATAAGTTCAAAGATAGTAAGAAATAAGAAACTAAGACCACCAAGTATTGTAAATGAGTTTACAGAACAACATTTCCTTGGATTTAAGGGTCTTCTATGCTCCTTACTTCTTCTTTTCCTCTTCTCATTTTCTTCTTCTTCATTTCTTCAATAGATGATGTCCTGCAAAAATAAATTTCTCTCATATCTCTCGTTTTGCCTAGGAGCCTTTTCAGGTTTTCATCCTAGCATCTCTTTTCTTTTCCTTTTCTCACCACTCACTCATTATTTTTGTAAGCCCTTCTTGCTTAGATTACCCTTTTTTTTTGTGGGGGGGGGGGGGGGGTTCAACCTAACTAGCATTTCATTTTTTTTTGTGTGTACAACTAGTAAAAGAAAGTAATGCTTAGCGTAAGGTAATAAGAAAAAACAAAGGGAGTGTACATACCAAGAGATGAATTTCCCTCCCCCACACTTGAATCATGGCACTATCCCTAGTGCCCGCCTTCTCCGCCATAATAGCCACCTCCAAAGCCGCTCCCATGTACATCATCACCGTCTCCCATAGAGTGTCCCCACCGTTGTATCCTCCACCACCGGAACTAGAGCCACCAAAATTTCCCCAATCGGAGGGGTTATACCAAGAAGGTGCCGGTGGTGGTGAAGTTATAGATGAGAAATCTCCGTGATGGGCTATATATGAGTCAATAGGACCATAAACTCTACGATAGTCCTCTTCATAGCGGTGGAGGTCGGCTTGTCGTAGCTCCTCCATTCTTTGGAAACCCGCCCGTTGCTCCTCTCGGACTTGTGCAAGTTGTTCACCCATGTTCGTGTAGTTGAGGTTCATGGTGTTGAACCTGGCAAGTAGTGCTTGTTGGCCCTCCAATAGTTGTTGGAAAAAGTCTTGCGGTGGTGGGTTTTGAGGGGGGGTCGGGGATGTGGTGTTGGGCATGTTCATGTTCCTCTTGGTACTCGGCTTGGTCAGGTTGGTCCGGTTGGGCTTGAAGGTGTGGTGGAATGGCATTAGGAAGCAAATAGTGGGTGATTTCAAAGCTTGCCAGTTTATACCTAAGTTTAGGTACGTAGTTCGTCGCAAGGGAGGGGAAAGTATTTGATGGGTTCGGGGTACTTCATGTGCCATTTGTAATGTTGGGTTCCATTGTGGTCCTTGTTTCCCAAAGAGATTAATCCCGCATTGGATAACCAACCAATGTGCATCAATGTATCGGCGTGAATTGGAGCATTGTCCGTATAGCCGAATTTGGACACCAAGTGCATTATTACCCCCCCCCCCCCCAACCACAATGTTCCATGTTTTCTTACAAGCGTGCTCCAAATGATCCTACATTAGATTACAAAAGTTATATGTCGTAGGTCTCTGAAAAAGGGCTAGAGTGAGTACGGCCACGTCCCCCATCCGAGTATGGTGATTGTTGGGGCGGCCGAGCAAAGAATTACACAAAAACTTTAGGAAAATCCGGAGAAGGGGATGTTGAACGTGACTAATGGAGAGTTTAGACGCGTTAACTTTCACTTCTCCGGTCATTTTTGACCATAGAGTATGAGCATCGAGCGTGCTTTCCGGTATCCCCCTCTCATGGGCCACGGGAATTCCAAAGTGTGCGGCAAACTCACGTCTCGTTATTGAGTATTCGGTGTTGCGCACACGAAACGTGAGTTCATCGGAATTGAAATCCGTCGGGTCCTCTTGTAGAACAAATTTCATGGAGCTCATGACCTCATATGTGATTTTGTCAACACAATTGTATCGCATATTTAAAATCAAATTCATTTGCAATACATCAAATAATTCCCTCATGCCATCCTCTAAGCCTAGTTTCTCAAGAGCATCATGACAAAGAAATCTAGAAGGAACTACTTGCCTTTTAATGATGGCCAAAAATCATGCCCGGTGATTTCCCGTCCCAAAGCGGACATCCTCAAAGCCATGAACTGGTCCCCGTGTGTTGGAGCTTTCCAGTTGGTTTCTTTTTGGAGCCATTCATAACCAAATTTGGAGCTTAGATTCGGACTTGGGGTTTGGGGGGTAGGGTTTGGGCGTTTCGGGAATATGGGGAGAGGGTGGATTTTATGGGTAGTGGGTTGTAGAGGAGAGTGAGGGGAGTGTTTTGGTGGTGATTTGATGGGTTTTTGTTGAGTATTGGTGGAGATATGGAAGGGAGAAGGTTCGAAAATGGTGGATTTGGGAAGAGAGGTTCGAATTTTTGGGGTTGGAGAAGATGAAGTGGCCAATTTTGGGGTCTGATTTGGGTTAAAAGTTGGTGTACCCGATCGGGTGGCCCGGCATACCCGATTGGGTACCCTCTTGTTTCCTCATGTTTCAGGATCGGGCCCGATCGAGTTTGGGTTATACTCGATCGGGCAAATTGCGTCGTATAAATTCCACCTTTAAACATTAATTTACCCGACCGGGTATATGGGTGTACCCGATCGGGTACTTCGTTAATTTTTTTCAACAGTGCTCCAGGGGTTCGTACCCGATCGAGTTTTGGGGGTACTCGATTGGGTAAACCGTGACGAAGAAAAATTCACAATTTTTTTCATTTATACCCGATCGGGTCATAGGTCTACCCGATCAGGTACTGACCTTGTTTTCAGCCCTAACTCGATCGGGTAAATCGTGACGAAGAAAATTCACAATTTTTTAATTTATACCTAATCGGGTCATAGGTCTACCCGATCGGGTACTAACCTTGTTTTCAGTCCTAACTCGATCGGGTGTGGGGTTTTTGCTCCACAATCCTGGTTTTTTCATCTATACCCGATCGGCTGCAGTAATGGGGCCCGATCGGGTACACTACCCTGGGTGTGATTTTGTCCAATTTCATCCTCTTTTTTGGCATGGATCCGGCCGGGTAAGTGATGATGACCGATCGGAGATTTTTCCCTTATTTTCTTTTGAGAATCTCCCCCTTTTCTCAAGAAGCAGTTGGGTCACCATAGCAAGAGCTGCAGGAATTCCATCCAGTATGATGTAGTTCATCACCTAGATAAGGCATTGGTAGCCTGTGGATTACATTAGAATATGTTGGTGAATTACTATCAACATCAGCAGTAGCCAGGTAATCTGGCTTCTCCCTTCCTAGGACCTTTTAATTACTCTAAACAACAGCTTAAGAACTACTCAACAACATCACTGGCAACAGGAACATAACAACACTCAACTCATCTAGTTAGAAGCTCCACATTCCAGCCATGTTTCTTGCACAGAGAGAAAATTGAGTAAATGAATTTCCTAACAAGTAAGTAAAATTTATCGAGCCTCAAGCCGTCAATCCCAATCCTTTCACGTTTCAGAGAGACGAGAAAAACAGAGAAAAAATTCAAGGTAAGAGAAAATATCGACGTAGGCTATTTCAGATTGGCTCAGCAGCCATACCTCGATCAGCCTCAACGCTATGAATCAGACGGGAGCGCTGCAGGAAGCTAAGTGCTTGATGAGGGTCGGGCCGAGAGCGACGGCCTGGAGGATGAGAATTTCAGGTCTGGGTTTGAAGATCTGCGGATCTTTCAAACTATAGATGGGGAGATCAAATCTGATTTACGCGGAAGAATTGAGAGCAGAAACCCAGGTGTTCGTTCCATTTGATCGCAGGTAGTTATTGGGAACGGCTATGGACGGAAAGAGTTGAACTAACGGAGCAGAATCGTAGGTGTTCCAGTTGAACTGCTATTGCAATTTTATTTTTCTCATTGTTCTCATTTTGGGAGGACTTATCTGCAAAAAAATAAATTGGATGATTAGGACGTGAGGTGGCATTGTAGTATGATCTGATTGGTTTAAAAAGTGAATGCATGGGTACATGCTATATTAAGTGATGTACCATAGAATTTTCCTTATTAAGAAAGGGGAAAATACCAATATATTACTAAAACATGTCCACTTTCCCATAATATGACTTAAAAAGTTTACTTACCATTATATGACTAGTAATGGATGTACACGCATAGGATATGCTTTAATATAGCAGTTACATTTACAAGATGGCATGTCCTTAAACTACACAAGTCATACATTAGGAAATTGTATCTCTTTTAGTGATACATGTGTTAATTTTCTCTATTAAGAAAATTAGGTTGATGCGGTTGATATTAAAAATATAAATTACTCCAAAATAGAACTAAAACTATGTAAAAAACTCAAAATAGGATTTACTATATTTTTTTTCTTCAAAATAGGACCATATTAGTCCCGTTGAAAACATACCTATTTTTTCAGTCCATTCTTACCCTTCCTTTAAATATGAGTTAATTAAATGTTTAATTCATAATAAATTCAAAAAAATTCAAAAAATCGTATAAAAATAAATAAAAAAATTATAAAATATTTATAAAATAAAAATTTTAAAAACAAGTTTTGTTTATTTTTTTTATTTTTTAAAAAAATTAATAAAAAATAGTAAAACCCCATAAAAATTTAAAAAATATGTGGATGCCTTTCCCACCGCCTGTACTACCTCCCTGCACCACCATCTCCGGGGTGGTGAAAAAATGCCATTTTCCCTAAAAACTGCCATTTTTTCTGAAAATGCCAAAATATGGCATATTTCTCTTTGAGAATGCCAACATTTTCATTGTTTTCTGCCATAAATATGGCATTCGTAATGAACTTGACATTTTTTTCCCAGGTGACTGGAGGTTGTGGTGCAGAGGCGGCAATGATTTTTATTTTATTTTTTTGCATTTTTTATTTTTTTATTTTTTTTATTTTTTGAAAAAAATAAATAAATTATTATTGTCGAAATATTTTTATTAAAAATTTTATTATTTTTTACGAATTTTTATTATATTTTTTTATTTTATTATGAATTAAAACATTTCAATAGCTATAAGGGTATATTTGTCCAAGACACACATAATTAGTCATATGAAAACATAGTTTATTTTTTGGTCATATTTGTGAAAAGTGAGTAACTTTTAGTCCTATTTTGATAACTAACCCTATTAAAAATGATTTAGAGTCACAAAAGCTTTACAAAATTTGGTATGGGATAATATTAGTGAGATTTTCCGAAAAAGTAAAATGAGACAATTCAGGGGAGGAAGGGATTATATTAATTCACGTTGGGCATGGCTTTAAATTGTACGATACCATTATTTGACAGTTGACACCGACTGAATACTCCCAGTTACTATGAAAAAAGGCGCGTCTCTGCTTATGTATACGCAGTAGTATAATTCATGGTTTGATCTGATTTTTTTTTAATTTGCATTTCAAAAGCAAATAAATCCATTTTAAAGCTAGGGGGGCAATTAAGGTTATATTTGATAAGTATAAGTCTCTACCTTCTAGCTTTTGTACTGTTCAAAAAGTCTTTCAAAACTTCTAGTCGTATGTTTAACATGACAATTTAACAGCTTTTCAAAAATTAAAAGATCTTTTTTTAGATGCTACGGGGAGTAGCATCTGAAAAAATCCCGTGACTTTTAGTATTAATTAGTCCTAACAGCTTGTATACCAAACCGAACTAAATTAAACAGTCAACTTTTTAGCAAACAACTACCACCTTTTCTTTTTAAGATCTTTTCAATCACTAAAAGCTAACAATTATTAAAAAGCTGACAAAAATATCTTTTCAGCTAGTTGTGCGAAACATACCCGGACATGCTCCTACTCTTCTGTCTTTTCTTTGCTTCTGACGTTACGTACTTACGTTAGTCACGCCTAGGCCTTTTCTTTTTTTTTTCTTACAAAACTTTTCCATCAATTTTAATTTATAAAATATATGGAATACAAAATATGACTTAAGGTCCTCGCTTACTTCTTCTTTTATTTCCTTTTTGATCCACCTTCCTTATAATTTAAATATTTCTTTAAATTGTGAATTACAAAATATTTAAGGTATCTATATTTTTCTTTCTATTTTTAATTTCATGATTAATATTATTAATTTAATAGTTTTTGTGTTATTTTTTTTAAAATTGTGTGTTAATTATTAACATGAATTATGTGTTATACTAAAATGAGTAAAGTGTTTCCTTAAAAAAATGAGTATAGTTTTTAAAATAAATGTGCATGACTAAATGTGCATGCATGAGCATACTAAAAAGAATGCGATTAAATTTCTAATTGAAGAATGATAAATATAAATTATTTTGAAACTAAAATTTATTATGTTTCTAATTTTTATGTACCGGATTATAATGATAGTATAGTCAATTGTTAATAATAAATCTATTTTATGGGCATATTGTAGAAGTGAGCTTTATGTTAATTTAAACTCAAATGGATATAACGTTTAAAAGAAATGAACACGCACAAATGAATATTTGAGAATATTAGAGATTTTAAATTAGTTTTTGAATTTTTTGATTCTCGTTTTGTAAATTATGTCTACTCATTCTGTATTGATGTTATGCTCAATTTAAAATGTTATATCAATGGCGATGAAACTCACGCGACCATTGAGTCTTGCTCACATAATTTCAATGTTCAATAGTAGAAAACACAATACTCAATGAAGATGTCTTGATGCTCAAATAAGTTTTTATTTTTTTTAATTGCAAAGTTCTGATGCTCAATACACATAGTCTCGATCAATGCTCAATAATCGAAAATACGATATTCAATGAAGATGTTTTGATACTTAAATGAGATTTTGAAATTTTGTATACTCTCAATTTGAGCAGTTCTAATGTTCATTACACTATATAATGATGATGCTCAATAGTAGAGAACAAGATACTTAATAAAAATGTTTTGATAAAATATAAGGTTTTCAAATTTAACAGAAATCGTGGTTTCCATCTCAATAGAGGAGATTTTACGCTAAATGAAAATGTCATGATGTTCAACTAACAAATTTTACGATTTTCATATAAATGTGGATTTTGTAAGTTACATATACTCATTTGGTATTGATGTTATGCGCATTTATAAAATGACATATCAATGAACATTTCAAAATTATCATTACATTAGATTTGCATATTGAAATTCATAGAAATCGATTATAAATATAATTTAATAGGTCTAATACTCATTAAAAGTAGTTCATTAATGCTCGTTCAACAGAAATTGTGATTTTCATCTCAATAGCAGATGTTTGATTCTCAATGATAAATGTCAAAATGTTCAACTAACAAACCTTACGATTTTCATATCAATGCACACTTTGTAAGTTATGTATGCTCATTTAGTACTGATGTTATGCTCATTTTTAAAATGTCACATCAACGCTAATGAAACTAACGCTCAACATAATAGGTCTGATGCTCATTAAAAGTGCATTAGTGCTCATTTAACAGAAACCGTGATTTTTATCGCAATAGAGAAGATTTGATGCTCAATGAAAATGTCGTGATGTTAAACTATTAACAAATCTTATAGTTTTCATATCAATGAACATTTTGTAAGTTATATATGCTCATTTAGTACTGGTGTTATGCTCATTTTTAAAGTGACATATCAATGCATATTTTAAAAGTGTCATATTACATTAAATTCGCATATTAAAATTCATAAGAGTGAATTATATATACTTCCTCTGTTCCATAAAAGTTGCAACATTAGAATTTCTGCACTATTCACCCACCTTACTTTGACTACGATTTTATAATAATATATATAATAAAAATATTATGTAAAACATATTAATAAATTTGAATTAATGTAAATTTCCAATATATTAACTTTTTTTAATGTTTACTAATACGTAAATAAATGTAATTACAGTCAAAGTTGCGCGTTGGTAAACGTGAAAGTCAAACTGTTACAACTTTTATGGAACGGAGGATAGAATAATTTAATAAGTTTTTATAAAAGAAAAAAAGAAAAAAAATTGAATTAGAAGATATGAAATAGAGATCATGATGTTCATCGTTAGTCCCCTAATACTTAATAGAATAGGTCGGATGCTCACTAAAAGTACACAAATGCTCATTTAGCAGATTCAGCGGTTTTCGCTTGAATTACAAAAATGCTACTGAAAAAAATTGGGTTGTTTTAATTATTGACATGTCTTAGTCTATTGGGCTGGATATACCTACACTCGGATGTAGGATATAGGGGCTATCTTCGACTTCCCAAATCATAAAAATTGATATGTTAAATAATTAAAAAAATAAAATTAAAAAATAAAATGAAGTTTGTTGATGAAGAAAAATAGACTTTACAAATCATTTTGAGATGGAGTATTCAACAACATTTTTGAAAACTCCATTCAATGAGTTACATGAAATTTCAAAACTGTGAAAATTAAGTGGTTGAAATTAGGGGTGGACCGGTTCCGGTTCCGGTTCAGGCCCGGCACCGGCCCGGGTAACCCCCGGGTCCGGGCCGGGACGGGCCCCCGGGTCCGGGCCGGGTAAACCCCAGGTCCGGGCCGGGCCGGGCCGGGCCGGGCCCCCGGGTCCGGGCCGGGCCGGGCCGGGCCCCCGGGTCCGGGCCGGGTAACCCCCGGGTCCGGGCCGGGTCGGGCCTCGATTCTATTTTTTTTTTTGGCTTTTCCTAGTTAACCCCCAACCCTCCCCCCTCACCCCAAACCAACCCTAACCACCTCAAATGGCCCAAAATACCCAGCCCAACCCAAAAACTTAAAAAAAATCAAAAAAAAAAATAAATAAATTGGCCCGGCCCGGGCTCGAACCGGCCAGGCCGGTTCGCCTTTTGAAGGGCCCCGAGCCCGAACCGCCATCCCACCGGGCCGGGTGGCCCGAACCGGGCAACCAACCGGTTCACCGGGCCGGTCCGGGCCCGCACAGTAGCGAGCCGATCTGGTTCCGGGCCTGTTCCAGGCCGGTTGGCCCGGCCTGAGTCCACTCCTAGTTGAAATTCCAAGATAATTCAAATTACTGTGAAAATTATAAAGTTTGAGTGATTGAGATTTTTGTACAAGGAAAATCGAATCTTATTTGGTGAAGATCAGAAAAGAAAAGATGAAAAGAAAAGCCTGAAGATTAAAAAGCAAAAAAAAGCAAAAAAAGAAAATCTAATTATTTGCGGGTCCAAAAAAAATCAAATTGAAAAGAAAAGCCTGAAGATTAAAAATAGACTTGGACTCGGGCCGGGTCAGGCCCGGGCCGAGCCTAGGCCCGGTCGGGCCGGTGGTTCTGAATAGCTGGACCCGGGACCGGCCCGGGCCTGGCCGGGCCGGGCCTCAGGTTTGGTTAACTTTTTTTTTTGCTTACCTACCCTTCCCTGACCCCCCCCCCTCACCCCCACCCCCCAAACCCCTCCTAAACATCAAGCCCAACCCGGGTGGAGCCCAAACAAATGAATAAAATCAAAAAAAAATCAATTTGGCCTGAACTGGGCCCAAGCCCGGCCGGGCCTGGCCTTGTTTTGGGTGACCCGAGCCCGGACCGGAAACGCATCGGGTCAGGCCTACCCGGACCGGTCACTGACTGGGCCACCGGTTCGGGCCAGGCCGGAACAGTACCGGTCCCGGGTCGGTTCCGGGTCAGGCCACCCGGCCCGAGTCCAAGTCTAATATTTAAAAAGCAATCTTATTTGCGGGTACAACCTGGATTTCAAGAATATAATTATAAAATTTTAAATTAATCATTATTTCAACAGTACACTTCAAATTAAAGTGCACAGAATTTTTTTTTTATATATCTTTATACGAAGTGTAATTTTCAACTAAGCAAAGTCAAATTTAACCTAAGGTTACTCCAAAAGCTAGGATGGAAATGGGATTTGATCCGTATAGCAGACTATATTGCAGAATATATTATTATGTGGTACAAGGTTTTGTTTATTAGCATAACTGAACTGCAGATGCATTAAAATTTACATCGTAAATACTCCGTTAGTAAGTTAAAGGGACTCCACTTCTTATTCTAAACCAAACAAAATGATGAACTGAAATTGGCGTTTACCAAGAAAGTATAGCAATACTTGGTGAAGCAGAAAAGATGGATGAAGACAGACTAGTAACCCCAGTAATCGTTTCGGATTTCATCATCAAACTTCTTCTTGAGTTCGGGATGCTTTGCAAAGTATTCATCTGCAGTCATAGTGCTGAGTTTTTTCTTGAGCTCTTGCACATCTCCTATTTCTTTTTCCAATCTTTCAGACTCCTTCAATGATTGCTTCTCAGCTTCTTTAAGCTCTACCAACTACAAACAACTTGTCCATCATGAGTAATACAAAGATACACAGGAAGTGTTATCACATTCTAATAATATTAATACTCCCTCCGTCCCTAAGTAAAAGCATTTGTTTCCTTTTCGGGCCGTCCCTAAATAAAAGTTCCCTTTCCTTTTTTGCCAAACAAAACCGTGCAAAACAGTACAAAACAGTGTCAAACAGTGTCAAATAGTGTCCAAACAGTGACAAACAGTACCAACGAAACCCACTTTCTTAAGATGTGTGTAAAACATTGTTTGTAATTGCGCAATGCAATTGCGCCTCATGGCACGCCTCAGCTAATTCCTAGACTATGGCATAAAAGGCATTGCATATGGCGTTGGGAGTGTGGCGTACGCAATATTGCACTGAGGCGTACGCAATATTGCATACACAATAAGACGCTCTGAGGCGTACGCAATAGGAGAAGGTCAGGGTGTAATGGTATTATTTGGGCCTACCCGGCCTACTTTTAAATTTTTATAATTGATGTTATGATCCCTATTTCAAACCACTAGTTATTGATTGGATTTTTTCAGTCGATCAATCTAATTAATTTAAATTCTCATATCTTAGATTTTTTTTGTAAACGATTCAGAAAGTTTTGGTATTCTATGGTACTTTGAAGTTTGAACATATTACTTTGCTAGGACTATGGCCTCTAATGGTTTGTTTTAATATAACATTTGAGGACGTTTGACAAATATGTTTATTTTTTATTATGTTTGTGTGTGTATTACGCCTCAGGCATACGCCTCGTTGCGCAATGAGGCTTACGCAATATGCAATATTTAAAAAAACGCCACAACTACGCAATACGCAATTTTGAACCTTGGTGTAAAATGAATGGATACTTTTATATAGGGACGGAAGGAGTAATAAACACTACCAATAATAATAGTGTGATGAATTCATGAAATCACTTCACACAAGGGAAACTGATGTAAATATGTAATTATATGAACCTCCATACAGTGAAGAAAACATTTATTCATCTTACCAAGGCATCAAACTTGGGCTTATATTGGGGGGTCACTGTGTCTACATATTTGGGAATTTCAATGCCTGTGAAACCAAAATGCTCAATGTTCAGAAACTTGTACTAATGTGATGACAATAAATCTCCTGGTCAAATAAACCAAAGCTCTACAGTCGAGAGTTGCCGACAAGAGTATGGGCCAGGTCATCATTATCATCACCACCACGTTAATCAAAAGTGCGGTGGGATCGGTGACATGAAATTTATAGTGCATGTTAATTGTCAAAACATAGTTAAGTCTATTGATCAAGAAAAACTGCGAAAGTTTTACGCTGGTGGAATCTGGCAACTTTCTTACGAATACATAATAGATGATGTAATAATCATCATAATTTTTGTTCATTGAAGGCAAATGATATACATGTCAATAGTTTAGCATCCTTTTTTGCATATTCAAGAGTTAGCAAACTCTTTTTGCATATGAAATCCCAAAAACACAAACAAAACTGAAGCATACATTAAAGGAAGAGGCAAATTCTGTTAATCCCTAAATACTACAGTTTAAGATCAGTTACAATGAACATTGTAATGAAGTAAGACAGTGGAAAGACAAAAAGGAAACATACTCTCATATGCTTCCTTGTACATATCCACCAAGCGAGAACCTAACCCTTTCCTGTAATACTCCCAGTCTATGGGTTCGGGTTCCTACAAAAGTTAACAGGAAAAATAAGACATAAATTCTCCTCTCCAACGCCATAAAGGAAATACCACATAGCAACAACAAAATATGACTTATTCAAATTATATATAGCAACATACTTTAACAAATCAAAATATCAAAGCGATTATATAGGCATCATATATACTTCATACAAACCATTATTGATCAGTTTTTTTTGTCCCAAAGGAAATGATTCTTGAGTTCAAACTGAATGTAACTTCAATTCAAAAGAAATGGAAAAAGTTAGCTTCAATAATGGAAGATCAATATACTTATGCTGCTAAGACTTCATGTGAAGACTTAAATGATCTCTGGTCATGCAGATTCTAGAGCCAACTTAGCTATGATATGGCATCTCTAATAATTCAAATATCACCATTTAGGGAACATTAGAAAGTTAGGCACACTAAAGGCAATCTGAAAATTCACATCATGTTGAGTACTTGATAGTTCAGCATCTAATTTGCACGGCCGAGCAAACATTTAACGATTTACTCCGTAAAAGAAAAAGTGTTTCATAACCAAAAGAGAGAACAACTCTGTGAGCTTATAAGCATAAAACAATTACATTATATCAAAAGCATTCAACCTGACAAAGAAATACAACTACTTGCAATTCAATTAGAAAGCTAGGATTAAAAACATCTACATAAATTATAAACCCCAAGTCCCCAACCAAGGTTGCAACAATACTTCAAGGCTTTAAGCCAAGACAGTCTCATTCATAGTCTCTCTATTCGCATGAAATAAATCGATTAAATTCACTGAGAATTAAAAGAAGCGCAATTAACAAGCATTTCTTGCTTCAGACCACATCAATCGAGAACAATTTTGTTCACCCCCTCAAGAGAGGGTGATGTTCGCCCACACTCTATTGGACTGCCACATGGCATATCAATTCGTTTTTATTTTGCAATTGTTATAACTTTTTCATTTATGGTCCAATTTTTTAAAACAACAATACATTTTTTTATTTTTCACGATCTTTCATATGGTATCAACATTGCATTGTAACATTATATCATTTTTTTACTTTTTTATGATCTTTCATATAGTAACTCCGCCATGAGATCATTTTTTTGGTATCATGCATGTCTCAAGCCAGGATAAAGGAGGAGGGTGCTCTGGTAAGCGCGTGACGGCCAACGGTATCACTTAGTCACATCACATGACATGAATAAAAATATGGTTTTATGCCTGGACGCTCAACAACTGAGGCCATTCACCTTCTTAGACAAGTTGTGGAGAAGTATAAAGACACTAAAACGGATCTGCATTTGGTGTTCATTGACTTAGAAAAGGCATATGATAGGGTAACACGAGAAGTTCTTTGGCGGACCTTAACTAGAAAAGACGTATCACGTAAGTATATCAGTATCATCATAGATATGTATGATGCTTATACAACAAATGTCTGCACTAGTGTAGGGAGGACCGCAAAGTTCCCTATTACTATCGGAGTGCACCAAGGATCTACTCTGAGTCCTTACCTATTTGATATAGTCATGGATGAACTTACGAAGTCAATTCAAGAAGATATACCGTGGTGCATGATGTTTTCCGACGATATTGTATTGATTGATAAGACACAATCCGGTGTTAAATCAAAGTTGGAGGTATGACGACAAACATTGGAGACTAAGGGTTTCAGACTGAGCCGAAGCAAGACTGAGTATATGGAGTGCAAGTTCGGTGGAGGTAGAAGTAGTAGCAACAGTGGGATTACTCTTGATGGTAAGGAGATACCAGTGTGTGATATGCTCCGTTACTTGGATTCCATAATTCAAAAGGATGGTGAATTAGATGGAGATGTATGTCATAGGATCAGAGCTGGGTGAATGAAATAGAAGAGTGATTCAGGATTTCTATGCGATCGAGATGTGCCGACTAGACTGAAAGGTAAATTTTATCGTACAACAATTAGGCCGACATTAATGTATGGCGTAGAGTGTTGGGCGGTGAAGCAATGCCACATTCAAAAGATGAGTGTGGCAGAGATAGCACCTATACAAGATAAGATGCAAGAGTCTCATTTATGGTGGTTTGGGCATGTGCGTAGAAGATCAAGTGATGCACCTGTTAGACGACTTGAGGGGTGGGGAGAAGAGGCAGAGAAGAGAGGGAGGGGAAGACCCAAACAAACTTGGATTAGAGGAATCAAAACTTATATGCGTCTTCTTGGGTTGGATAAGAGTATGACTTTGGAGAGAGCAAAGTGGGGGGTGCACATCCGTGTGGATGATTGATGTCTTTTCTACCTTTCCTCTCTTTTTTCTTTTATCGTTTTCTTCCTTATCTTTTTATATTCTTATGTTATTTTTATCTTCTAGCTTTTTTATGCTCTTTTATTTTTTATCTTTTATCTTTTTATATTCTTGTGTTATTGTTATCTTATATTTATTTATCTATATTTTATTCATTTTATCTTACTTTTTTTCTTCTCTTTCTTGTTTGTCTTCTCTTTTTGGCATCGATATCATAGACCGATTCATGTTAGCCGACCCCAAGTTTTTTTAAAATTAAGACTTGGGTGTTGTTGTTGTATGATCTTTTGTATGGTATCAACATTGCATATGTAACAGTAAAAAAATCAAGCTTAAAACAGGTTTTAGAAGAAATATATTTTTTTTCCACATTTTTTATATGCAATATTGATAAAAAAGATCATAGAAAATTATTAAATCTGATATACTTTTCTAAAAATTGGACTATAAATAAAAAAGTTATAACAATTTTAAGAAAAAAAAAGATTTCAAATGCCAAATGAAGGGTGAACAAAATCGGGCTGACATCAATCACTCAGAACAACAGCCTTAAAACCCTAAATAACAAGAAATCCATCAGCTAAATAAATAGATAACCGAAATATCGGGTTCTACTTCCTGATGTCCATTCAAGCAAGCATGTATGTGTTATATTATTAGAAAGTAAGGATTGGTGGAGGACCTGGCTGAACTTGGTTTGAAGCTGAGAGTTAACCTCGTCAAATGAGCGCCGAAGGGTAGCGAACTCCTTACGAGCCTCATCGGACACCAGAAGCCTCGCCATTCCTTCCCAGTCGATCGTCCGGCCGGCCTTGAATGTGACGTCAGCAATCTTCTTTACTGCCCCGTTCATCCTCTCTTTTCTTTCACTGTCTATCTCCCCTCACGATGGTATATTGATGCGATCACAAAATGTGCGATAAGAATACCTTTTTTTTAACGAATCTGAAATTTAATAAGGAGTACTCCCTCCGTCCCCTTTTAAATGTCCCGGAAGAGGGTGACACGAGTTTTAAGAAAAGTAGGTTTGTGTGGTTGATATTAATAGATAAAGTAAGAATAAAGTAAGAATGATTTTGAGCCACACAAACTTTACCAAATAAGGTATGAGACAATTAAATAGGGACATCCCAATATGATAAAATGGGACATTTAAAAGGGGACGGAAGGAGTATTTCCTAAAACTGCTTCAAACTGGTGTAAAAGAATGTACACATATTGGCCTATGTTACAACGCAAATTATACCGTGGGATCGGCCCACCTTCCGCATGGTGTGCCGATTCCACTTTAGCCAAGTTCATTTTTCTTTTCTTTCTTCCTGGAGCAACGTAAATCCCTTTTCCATTGCTTTTCTCTTTATTTTTCTTTTATTCTTCAATTCTTTTCTTTTTCCATCAAATTAAAATACTAAAAATTTAATGGCAATCATACTTTTCTTTATCTTCATCTTAAATTATAATTGAATCTTTTTTTTTTATTCTTTAATAATGCATAACAAAAAGTTTATTAATCTAAATAAAATAAGTATATTGCAATTAATATTCATACACTATTTTTGTTTTTGTATTAATTTTTATATTCATATACTTTTTTTGTAATATACTTTTTATATTCATACACTTTTTTGTTATATTTTTTATATGGAGAAACTTTTTCTATAATATAACTTTTTTATCACTTTTATATATTTTTAGAGGTTTTTAAGACATTGAGTTTGTTTATTTTGATTTTTAAAGTTACATTTGATATTATATCATGAAGTTATATCTTCTTCCACGCGAGTTACATCTTATTGTACGTGAGTTACATCTTAATATACGCGAGTTACATCTTAGTGTATGTGAGTTACACTACGGAATAAACCCTTGTTATATCATTTTTATAGCCCTAATATTAAACATAAAACATATTCACTATTTAAAAAAAGTAATTAAGCTATTAGGATCAATTTTTCATTGTTTTCATTTAAATCAATGTTTATGACATATATATTATTCTTAAACACACACAAAAAAATGTTCTATTTTTCAACAAGTTACATTTTGTATACATCTAAGTTATATTTGTCATCAACACGAGTTACATTTGTAATAACATGAGTTACATTAAAAAATCAACGCCTGCTATTGAAACAAAAAAAATTAAAAAAATTATTTTTTGTGGTCATGATATTAAAAACAAAACATATTCACAATTTACGTAAAGCAATTGTGAAATTAGACTCTTTTTTTCATTGTTTACATTGAAATCAATATTGTATTTCTAATACTATGTATTTGACAAGTTACATTTCGAATGCACTTGAGTTACATTAATCAATAACGTAAGTTACATATCTTTACTCGCGAGTTACACCATTCATGCTACTGGGACAAAAAGAAAGAAAAAAAAGAAATTATATTAAATGGGACTAAAACATGGTTAAAACTCAAAAATAGGACTTCAAGTTTTAAATTTCCTAAATGGGACTCCACATTACCTTTTTGCCCCTAATCCCTAAATCAGATTTTTTCCCCAAATAGCTCTCACTGCGCCTTCCCTCTCTCTCGCAAACATCTCTCCCCGCCACAACATGTACTCCATCGCCGCCACCACTTCTCTACGCTACCTCTCTACGTTGTTGCCTCTCTATGACGATGCTTCTTCCACCGTCGATATCGATTTGCATCAATCCCAGGTATCGTCTTCCCCTTCTTCTTCATCTCCTCCTTCTCCTTCCTCTTTGTCCTCTATTTTTCTTGTGAAAAATCCGGTTCTCCTTTCTTCTAATCCTCTTCAAATTTTTGGTCCTCTGTTCTCTTCTTAAATTTTTTGGATTTGAATTTTATTTATTAATTTGGACTTTTTGAATTTGAATTTATTTATTCAGTAAAATGTCACTTTTATATTCCGAGAATGTCAAAATTATTGGTTATTTGAAAAAAATGTCACGTTTGTGACAGTTTATTTACTAGGATGACAATCTGAAAATGTCACTTTTGTTTTGAAAATGTCATGAAAGTGACATTATTACTCTGGAAATGTCATTTTCTTCTTTGAAATTGTCACCTTAGCAAATGTAATGTCATGAAAGTGACATTATTACAAATCAGTGTTCAATTAAAGATCAACTATGTCATTTTTCAGATTGAAGTGATTAGAACAATAATATGAATCTTTTAAAAATAAATTACTCAGGATTATAAAAACTTGGAAATCCAAAAGAAGAAGAAAATAGAAGACCTGTAGAAGAAGAAAACAAGGGAGCTTGAGAAGAAATTGAGAGATGAGTACAAGAAAAAGATCAGAAGAAACTTACCTGGGGAGTCGTTCATCTGTGCATCGCAACTCGCAAACGACCTTCATTGCACCCAGTGAATTGTTGCAGCAGGAACTAAGAAGGGCAATTTTGTCCGATCGGTAATTAAAAGTCCTATTTAGGTAATAAAAAACTTAATGTCCCACTTTGGAGTTTTAACCATGTTTTAGTCCCATTTGGGAAATTCTCTCAAGAAAAAATAGTTACTGTACACGCGTGTACTGTTCACGTGTGTACTGTTCACGCGATTTTTTTTTTAAAATGGTTAAAGCTACGTCGTTTTGAAAGTGGAGCATCATGCTCACCGTGGGATGATCCCACGGTATACGAACTGATGTTACAAATAGGATTACACCCTAAATCTATTCTATTCTATTTATATATAAGAAAACAAATAGATCATTAAAATACATTTTTGTCCTCTAAAAAATCCATGTGTCATTCATTCCATAATTCACTCATTTGTTATGCAAATGTCATGTGGCAAATTGAAGGATTAAAAGGAAACATTAAGCCAAAGAAACTTAAGCATGGATACTCCTTTGTATTATTAGAAAGGTGACATCTATTCATATGGGTCCCATTATACAAAAAAATACCATTTTCTTCAAATTGCTATAACTTTTTCACATTTTCTCTGATTTTTATAAAAGATAAACGGAGTATCAAAATTCATAATTTTTTACGATGTTTGATTTGATACCAATATTGCATATAAAATTTTTTAAAAAAACATTTGAAAGTTTGTTAATCAACCTTTCAATATTCAAACCTCGATACAAACCATTCTGTATTAAATGAATAAATATTCCCTCGTCCCTTAAAACTTTGTCATCTTTTCTTTTTGGGACGTCCCACAACTTTGTCGCTTTCCCTTTTAATCAATTATTGTGTGGTTACTGTTGTTTCTCTCTTCTTTGCACAAATCTCAACCACAAAAATTTTCACTTTATTATTCTCCGGGTCAAACTTGGCAAATTTTAAGGGACGGAAGTAGTAATTCATAATATATGATCAAATTAAGTCTAATTGATAAAAATATAAACTTATTGAGTTTTAGTAACTATAAAAATGTACACATAGAAACTTTACTCGATGAATTGACTATAAAAATGTACACATTTAGATACTTTTTCATATAACTATTGCTTTATTTTATTAATTAATACAATATATTTTAAAATACAATTTCATATGAATGATAATGCAAATTTATTAATCGTGAATTGTGATATACGTTTTGTAACAATCGGAGTACAAATAAAAAAAAGTTACACGGAGTATCACTTTAAAGAACATATATTTTTTAAAGTATTAATTTTATTTATTTATATATAAAATATCAGTGTTATATGAAAGATAATAAAGAAGGTATGATATATTTTAATATGATCAAAACAAGCCTAATTGATAAAAATATGACTTATTAGTTTTTTAGCAACTATAATTGTGTTTAGAGTTTTATCAAAGTGACAGTCGGAGAAAGTATGTGGCTGATAGTGAGATTAAAGTAAGAATGGATTAGAGTCACACAAATATTACCAAATATAGTATGAAACAAATTTAGTGGGAGAATTTTATCTCCCACATATAGTGGTTTTAGGTATTTGAAGATAAGTTTGCTAACATTTAGTGGCTATAATAATAATAAAAAACTAGCCCTTATATAATACAAAAAAGGTTATATGCTCATTTTTCATTTGAAATTATGTAGTACTTTTAGTTACAAGATAAGCCGACTAACAATTGATCTAGAGAATTTTATCTCCCACATATAGTGGTTTTAGGTAAAAGAAGATAAGCTTGCTAATAACTGAGCGGAAAAATTTTCTCTCTAATATATAGTGTTTCTAGGTATGACAAGATAACCTTGCTAACAATTGAGCAGAGAAATTGAGCGGGAAAATTTTCTCCCATATGTAGTGTTTTTAGGTATTGAGAGGGAAAACTTTCTCATATGTAGTACTTTTAAGTATAAGATAAGCCGACTAACAATTGAGCAGAAAAAATTTCTCTCTCATATGTAGTGGTTTTATGTATAAGAAAATAAGTTTGCTAATAATTGAGCGGAAGAATTTTCTCTCTCACATGTAGTGCTTCAATGTATCAGAAGATAAGCTTGCTAACAATTGAGCGGACAAATTGAGTGGAAAATTTTTCTCTCTCATATGTAATGCTTTTAGGTTTTAATAATAATATTATAAGATAAATTTGCTAATAATTGAGTGGGAAAACTCTCTCTCCCTCTCTCTCAAATGTAGTGCTTTTAAGTACAAGATAAAAGAACACCACTAACAATTGAGCATGAGAACTTTATCTAATAATTGAGCGGGAGAGAATTTTCTCTCTCGCATGTAGTGCTTCTACATATTATAATATAAGTTTGCTAACAATTGAGCGGGGAAATTGAACAAGATAATTTTTTCTCTCATATGTAGCAATTTTAGATATATGAACATAAGAAGATAAACTTGCTAACATTTGAGCGGACAAACTTTCTTTCTCATATGTATGTCTTTTAAGTATGATAATCCAAGTAACAATTGAGCAATGGAATTTTCTCTCCCATATGTACTACTTTTAGGTATAAGTAGATATGTAAGCTAACAATTGAGCGGGAGAGTTCTCTCTCTCATATATGATGCTTTTAGATATAAGAAGATAATCTTGCTAATTATTAAGTGGGAAATATTTATATATTAATTTGTAATTAGATCATGAGTACAATATATGCATCAACTGCTCTTTCCCGTGCGTATGCACGGGAACTATACTAGTTATTTATAAAATAGGATCAAACATTAATTTTGTATCCAAAATAAAATACCTTAAGTGTATTAATTTATAAGGCAATGTTCTAATTCATAATAAAATTGTAAAAAATAATAAAAATAGTAGAAAAATAAAAAAAAATAATAAAATGTTTACAAAATAAAAATATTTAAAAAAATTAAAAAATTAAAAAATAAATAAATAATAGTAAAAAACATAAAAAAAATATGGATGCCTTTTCCACCGCCTCTACCGCCTCCCTGCACCACCACCTCCGACCGATGTAAAAAAAATCATTTTTTGTAAAAAAAATGCCATTTTTTCTGGAAATAACAAAAAATGGCATATTACTCTTTGATAATGTCAAAATTTTCATTGAAACTGCCATTAATATGACATTACTAATGCATGTAACATTTTTCCCGGTGACTGAATGTGGTGGTGCTGGGGTGGCAGAGGCGGTGGTGATTTTTTTTCGTTTTTTATTTTATTATTTTAATTTGTTTTTTAAAATTATTTTATAAAAAATTTATTAATTTTTTAATATTTTTGTACGATTTTTTTATTATTTTTTATGATTATTTTATGAATTAAAACATTTCCAAAACTACAAGAGTATATTTGTCCAAACACACATAATTAGTCTTACTAGTGAATAAAAAGCAATGTAATCCTATTTGTGACTGTGGACTACCTTTTACTCCTATTTAGTTAATTAACTTAAGAATATATTACAAATTTACAATGGTTCAAATTGTTTTAGAAGTGATTCTTGAAAAAATTGCAAGGATCCAAAGAAATTTATTGCAATTTTACTTATGTTTTTAAAAAGGAATTAGAAGTAAAATCAATTCCAAATACGTAATAGGAAAGTTAAATAGAGAGTAAACGCAGACAACACCTAGGGTTCTATGGGTTTTGCTCAGTTTTTCCGGCGGTGGTTATTATCACTCGATCTGACAGCTTTTGTGGCAGGGCGAGTAAAGAAGACGTAAATGTCGGCCTTACTGAACGATCGGGCAAGTCTCAAAGACATTTCATTGGGTTGGCATTGATGGAAGAAGACCACGGGCAAATAGAAATTGAAGTGTTGGCTCAAGCCTATGGTAGGATGGAGATGGAAGAACTGGATGAGGTACTCTTGGTGGTTGCTATGAATTCAAACACAACAAGTGCAAATTGTTTTTCTTGTAGGAATCGTTACATCAGGACTAAGGGCTGGATGATATATGTTTCAATTTTATCATGATGGTGATATGATTAGAGTTATTGAGGAAGGATTGTGGATCTATGATCAAAATCTTATTGTCATGAGTAAACTGAAAGGAGATTTGCCTATGTTTGTTCTCTTGAATAGAGCATATTTCTGGATACACGGTCATGACATACTTGTTGGTTATTTTACTCTGAATAACACGAAAAGAATTAGTAATTTTGTGAGGCGGTTTGTTAATGTTGAAGAGTATAATTTCTACGCTAAATGGAACCCTTTTATGGGAATCAGGCTTAATATGGACTTCGGAAAACCTCTGAAAAGAAATCTATTTCTGCAAAAGGTAGAAGGAATAAATTTATGTGTAACTTTTCACTATGAAAAATTACCCATTTTCTGCTTTTGCGTGGACTTATTGGACACACCGAGAATTATTACCCTCGTAAAATGGAGGGACGTGCGAGGATTGAAGACATATCATTGGGCCTGTGGCTTAAGGTAATAAAAGGAAGAGCGCAGGTGGGAGAAAATAAATTACTAATTTGGGCTGGCATAGGGTGGAATATAAGCAGGGAAACATGTCAAGTATAACGACTACAACTAATGAAAAGCATAGTGAAATATTTGAGGATATGAGATCAGCAAAAACTGGAGATAAAGTGAAGCAAAAACGCATAATAATTGATAGGGAGAAGGACATTCACTCTAATAGTGAAAAGAAACGAGATGCAGCTCTATAGCACAAAACTGAGATCTTTGCAAACGCAACAAGAGGAGTGTGAAGTGATGGAACTCCATAAGCCAATCAGTTTTTATTTCTTTCTTTTTAGTGTTAACTGTTTTATTAAATACTTTGTTTTTATCTTTATCATTGACAATGGGTAGGTGGTTTATTTTTTGATTTATTTTGATGTCTAGTAATTTGTTTGGAAGCGACCAGACTAATCTTATCGATAATAGTTTCGTATCTCTTACATGTTCAGCGATTAGTCTCGCTCAATATTGAATGATCTATTCTGTGTCTAATCAGGAAGTAGGAGACATGTTGGTTATACGAAATCTAGATGGAAAACTTGATTTATTGTGGATGTTGGGATGTTTGTATCTATGAATTTAATATAAATTTTTCCTTTCAAAAAAATACTCTGACAAGAAGGCTAAAGAATAGAATAATTATTTCAAAAAGTCATAAACGCATTTTCCCTTCTTTTTTTCATTTATATCAATTACGTAGTAGTAATTAGTTTGTTTCTTTTAGACAACTTAGTAATTATTTTGTTCGCAAAATGCTTAAAAGGTAATTTCAAAAACAATTGCATAGAAAGCATACGCAATATAATGTGTAAATATAAAAACTTATCCTATACTAAATACTTCCTCCGTCCCAAAATGATGGTTCTGTATTTCCTTTTTGGGATGTTTCAAAATGATGGTCTTGTTTCCTTTTTTGGAAAGAAAGATGTGGTCCATATCATTTCACTTTATTATATTCAAATCTCAACCACAACTTTTACCTTTTCAATCACTTTATTAAAACTTCTGCCCAAAAGAAATGAGACTATCAAATTGGGACGGAGGGAGTAACCGTTATCACCTCTTGAATATGTGCAAATTCCTCAAATATAGGGTCACTTCCGGAAATTGGAGTAAATCGAATTTCAATGAAAAAATATGGGCTTTTTCCTTGAATATTACCAAATTAAAGTCGATTTCCAAAAAATGTGACCATTTTTTTTAAAAGGGCAAAAATGTGACTAAGGTCACATATTGGGAAAACATGATGTCACTGTATTTTTTGTCACTATTTGATTTTTATGTCACTTCAATTTTTTCATGTCACTAAAATGTGTCACTGTCAGATTTCCATGTCACTTATGAATACCAACGGAGTTGCTCAACTGCCACATTGACACAACTATAGTGACACCAACACAGTGACATCGTCACCGCTCAGTGACATCGGACCCCACCGCCACAGTGGCATTACTTCATCAAGTGACCACCGCCTCGACTATCATGTGACTGTTGCTGCCTCCTAGCCCCCGCCCCAGCCCCCACCAGGCACAACCCCAGTTAGTCCTCTCTACAACCCAAGTCCAGATTCGCCCCCTTCCCTTGCGCAACAGAGCTACAATCTGCGACGGCCATGCGATTTGATCTTTCATTAATTGATTCTTTTGATGTTAAAACTTTATGGGTCAAGAGAGTCACTATGCATGATCTTGCCATTAATCGATTTGCATCTGCTACTACCTGAGACCTTCGTTCCTTGTTGCCGGATCATTATGAATTGAAGGAACTAGGAATTAAATTGATTAACCTTCAATTTTTTCAGCAAATTTAACAGAGTCAAGATAGCGAGCGTAAATTGATCACAAATTTTCCAGACACTCGTTAGGTCAGCAAATTGAAAGACCTTCAACGTTCTATGTAACTACGAAACCTCTGTGATGAACAACACCAGGTGACGGGAAGGAGACGACTTATGATGATGCAGGCGTGGTTGACACTTCCGAGCAGATGATGCGAGGCAAATGGCCATCTGCGCCGGACAGATGCGGCATACCATCCCTCAGTTCCCTGTGCTCTCGTCGATGATTTCCAATTCATTAAGGGGTCACTTTTTGGAAAAGAGAAAAAGGATGATATTTTTGGAATTGGAAAGTGTGAGGGTAATATAGAGGTCATTCTTTCTAAAAATATTCATCCTGTAATATTTTTTTAAATGAAGTCTTTATATGTGTTTTAGAAAATTAAAGGATCTTCGAATATTATGGTGAAAAAAGTATTGATACCGTAAGTATTTTGTAAATGAAGTTTCTATAATAGTTTTAAAACTCTAATTAAAATCGACTTACAATGAAATAGAGCACATCAAAATATGATCAAATCAAATATTTAACTTCAATCCTAATTAGTGACTTAATTTGACAAACTCCACACTTAACTTCCTCCCTTGTGTGGACGGGGTCACCTCGTCCTTCGGCCAATTCCCTCTCAAGGGCGCTGACCTTGTTCATGAGTGCATTGAGGTCAGGATCGTTGGAGGCGCCGGCCGTGAGAATGTTCGCCGATTGCCTAGCCTCCATCATTAAAAAGGACTTAATTGACCTTTTTATGAAAGTTCGAGGACCTATTTGACAGTTTTCCCTTTAATGATTGTTGATAACAACTGTCCTCCATATATACCCTTCGAGAAGCTTCCATCCAGCCCGATGACAGGTCTACATCCGGTTGAATGTTGTGGGTGGGTTTCAATCCATCATGTGGCCGACAATAGTTCGTATACGGTGCAACCGGCGCACCTTGAGCATCATACTCCACTCTCAAAAACGACGTAATTTTACACAATTTAAAAAAAACGCGTGAACAGTACACACGTCCTATTTTTTCCTTTTGTCCCAGTAGCATGAATGATGTAACTCGCGTGTAAAGATATGTAACTCACGTTATTGATCAATGTAACTTCCGTCCGTTCGAAATGTAACTTGTCAAAATACATAGTATAAAAAATAAAATATTGATTTCAATGTAAATAATGAAAAGAAGAAGTCTAATTGTCCAATTATTTTACATAAATATTGTATATGTTTTGTTTTTAATATTAGATCTATAAAAATGTTTTTTATGAAAATAATTTTTTTTTTAATAACAGAGCTTATTGTGTTGTGTAACTCGCAATATATTGTGATGTAACTCGCATTATGAAAAATGTAAATTACATGTAAGCGAGATGTAACTTGATGAATAAAGTTGACATGTAACTTACGCTAATAGATATGTAACTTTAGGCAAATACTGGTGTAACTTGAGTGTGAGTAAGATGTAAGAAGGTGGGTCTTCATCATTAGAATCTGAACTTTCATATTAAAAACATTATTACTATTATACATATAGATTAAAACAAAAAATTAGCTTGAAGTCATTATATTGGCCCACATATACGGACTCCAGATCCAAAATACACACTTGCAACTTCAGAAATAAGGGATAGCCACATATCGCCGATGTTTACTTCAATCCGCAGAAGGATGACGTTGAGATGCTCATAGCGTCTGCACTAGCAATAGACCTAATTTTTACATCGGTGCAACCAATTTCAGGGAAGGCCGTGGGGCGACGGCGAAACCTCTAGTCCCACATGCGGCGGAGTTCCATGGTGAGATGAAACAATGAAGGAGATGAAGGGGATCCGACGATTTGCTCTTTTTTTTAATAGGAAGCATAAAACTGTACCGTTTTGGGATCGGCACACCATGCTCATGGTGGGCCGATCCCACGGTATAATTTGCGGGCCAACAATTATATCTGGGTGGGTTTTAATTCCTAATTAAAAGGGGTATAAGTGGAAATTTAGAAAATAGAATCAACCATTAAATTTTTTTTTGCATACGGGGAGAGTGAGCATGCTTTATCAAAACTGAAGGGAGTTTCATGCTTTTTCAAAGTCACAAGGGGATAATATGCATGATTAATATTACATGAAGGGATTTGGTGCAATTTACCCAAAAAAAAGATAGTTTGAGTTCCTTACCTTTTAACACTATTAGAGCATGAATGATTTAATTATGGTATTCTCAAAGTATCCTACTTTATCCATGTTGATCAATTAAAATATCGTAATTAAATAATTTAAATATGAAAAGATAATGATGTAACGATTTGAATCAATTAACTGAATGAATAGTACAACACCTTCATTTTTAGGGGTATTATAGCATTCAACTTTAATTATAATTCATGTTTTTCATAAACTCAACGCCACAACGATAGAGTAGGAGCGAAATTAGATATTTGGAAACTCTTCAAACCCTTTCTTTTATTGTTGGATGTAGTCCTCATTCCTAAGAGAATCGGGATAGGGGTGCAAAATCCCAATCCCGATCCCGGACCGGTACAAGTCGATTTTTTAACCAGGACCGGAAATTAAAGTTCCTAACAGGGACCAAGACCAGAATTGCAAAAAAAGGTCCCAGTCTCTCGCAGTCTCGCCTTTTAAAAACCATCGGGAATCAAAAAAAAAAAGACGGGGATCAATTTAAAAGCTGAAAAGGATGGAGAGGGGAGTGGGGAGGGAGATGAAGGGCTAAAATATGGAATATAAAAAAACTGGGACTGAATCGGGATCAAAGTTCTCTCGCCTCGCTAGTTTTTTTAGATTGGCTGGTCCCGGACCGTAACAGACCTAGACCGGGACCATGTGCATGCCTAAATCAGGACCATCCAGTGTTTGGCCCAAAAACCAAAACAGCACATGTTCTAAATCCAGCATCAAGAATAGAAACAAGTATGACTGGGCAATTTGGAGCCAGGAGGAACCAAAACTGGAATAGATTGGTACCACCGAGGCACATGACAGTTTGGTTACAGCCTTCGGAGGACCGAGAACCCAGAGAGATCAAAACCCAAATTGGATTGCGTCCAGCCGGAGTAGCTGCTCCTAAACCTCCACAAAAAGTATTAAAAATGAACAAAATGAAAGCCAACTTCATTGATCCATTCATTCATTCATTTGAGACCATGACTAAGTATAGGCCAATGGCAAGGGTATTTTGAATGGTGAAGCATCTGTACCAATTTGACATTCATTAAAAATGATATTCATCAAAATCAGAGTCAGAATCTTCATCAAAGTCATCGTCATTCTCATCTGCTTCTATGAGGTTGTCCTCATCCCAAAGAGGGCAGGAACATGTTTGTTTCTTGTTTCTCCATTCTGCTCCACAAGTGTAGCAAAACTCATATCCGCATCTGTCAACATGATTTAAAAAGAATAGATCAATCTGTCCACAACCTCCAGTTACATGATATATATAATGCAAAAAAGGGATGAATGAAGATTTACCATTACCTTCAGGGTCCATAGAATTTGTCAACCAAATCGGTTTCACATCCAAAATAAAAATAAAATATGGTATAATGATATCAACCAAGGAAACCTACTTAGTTTTAAAAGGCGTGGGGTGT